TACCACGACCTCACAGAAAACCAGCGTGAAGTAGAGGTTTACCTCTGCGTTTCGCTTGGTGAGTGCAGGTGGCCGGAGGCCCTTTTTACTGGAAATGAGGCATTCCATCTTAGTCCTCACGGGTGACAATGCATCTACATTTTGATTTGTAACAGAGGATAGATGTAGATGTCTATGGGCCACAGCATTCACTTACCATCGGGTGGACTGTGTATTCGTTTGTCGCCCTGTATAAAAAAATTTAATTTAAAATACCGCTTTATTAAATAATGAAGGCACAACAGCGGCCCTGTTAGTAATTGAGACCACTAACTGTCGACTCACTTGACCCAGATAGCAGGCATTAAATAGGTGGGACGTCTTGTCTAGACCGTGTCGCAAGTTAGACCTACGGCTACATTTCCCATGATTAGGTTATTTTAATAGACTGGTTCTCGATATAAATTTTGTTTCCGTAAATAGTTTTTAAAGTGACACTTTTGTATCGACATAGTGGAGAAACTTAGTACGGTATTAAAAACAAAAAAGTTACGTTTTCTCGTAACGTTTTATCGCCGGATCTGCACGAGTATACCATTATTTAACCTATATGTGTAAAATATAAAATAAAACAAGAATGATATGACGTAAAGAAAGTTCACTTCGTACGTGTGTACACAATTACATGCACATTTTTATTAATTTTCAAAATTAGTACTATGTAACTGGCTTTAATTAAGTTAACCTAAGAAAAAAGAAAAAGATTTTTATAAAACTACATAAGTTATACACCCAAAGCAAGAAATAATTATTTTATTGGCTATGTAAAAGCTTTCCATAACTTTTAACGTCACATTATACCGAACATAAAATTTAGCCATAAAGAAGTAATAAAGTTAGGCTTAACTTTAGTACCGATCTATGTATTTCGTCTAGCCAACAATACATTACACATTTATAACCTATAATTTATATTTTGTTTCTTTTATTTTGGAAAATTATTGTCCTACCGTATTATTACAAAACGGAGTTAACAATTTTTAACGTGGTATAACTATGCTGCAGCGATATATTGGTTGTACAACGAATGTATTAGCTCGACCGGGGAAAACCATTTTCTCACAGAATACGAGCGTGAAATACCAGCTTAATGATGCTGTGTTTGATATGGTGAGTGTAAAGAACCGGAGACCCTTATTACTGGAAATTAAGCATTCTATCTTAGTCCTCAGCACGCCTAGCATGGGCTGGGGGCAAATAATTTATCCCCCGATTATATCCACTGAAAAGAGATACAGTTATCTTCTCCTTATGCCGAAGCACGGCCACAGGAAAAAGTATATCCCCATTTGACATAACGAGTAGACATCTTGTACGTGGTAGAGCCATGTTGCAGCTATATTAGTAGTATAGTTGTAGCACGAATGGGTCGGCTCGACCGGGGAAGGATCACGCTGTCACAGAATACCAGCGTAAAATAGCAGCTTAACACTGCTGTGTTTCGTATGGTGAGTGTAGAGAACCGGAGACCCTTTTTACTGGATAAGAGGCATTCCATCTTAGTCCTCACGAGTGACAACGCATCTGCATTTTGATTCGCAAACGAGGATAGATGTAGATGGCTATGGGCCACAGCAACCACTTACCATCAGGAGGACTGTGTGTTCGTTTGTCACTCGATTCTATAAAAAAACCATATATCCCCGTCCGTAACATGAAGTCAAATGAAAGATAAAAAAATATGCTTTCTTGACATTTGAAAAGGACAATTTTCCTACTTCATTGGACGTGGGTTAAAGTTTATATTCATACAAAACCTTTCTAAGTCTATCTCCCATTTTATCTACTGTGGATATTATATTCACCGGTGTGCCCATGCTCGAAGGGTGGATAAAACTAAGCGAGGGGATAAAAATTTTCTCCTTTCCCCGGGGATAAAATTGTCTCCTGGCCATGCTAACCCTGCTGTAGTGACATTGCATCCTGTTTTGTTTGATACTTAATCGAGAATAAATGTTGATGCCTATGAGCCACAGCATCCACTTACCATCAGGTGGACTGTGTGCTCGTTTGCCAACCTTCTTATATAAAAAAATTGTCTTAGATTTACAGTAGAGTTTGATTCAATAAAGAAAGTCCTGTGGGGAATATGCGAAATAAAACGTAATGTCGAAACTTCCGAATACGGTGGCACCGCAACTAGGGGACTTCTTATGTGACATAGACTTCTTAAAACAGGTGAGTATTACAATAAAATTCTCCAATCTTCTACATTTCATCATCGGACCACCAGACACTTAGCTGGTCTCCACCCCTTTGTTGTGAACATACAACACATTCAAACTTCGCCGTTTATAATGCTTACAGTAAAGTAGTGGAATAATCTCCCAGTATCCGTCTTTCCATCCGATTATAATGTCGGGAGCCAGCATATTTCATAGTCGTCTGTCACGACATAAACGGGACGAAACAGGATGATGGAGTTTCTTACGCCGCCCCCACACGTGACGTGACACCTTATTAATATCCGGGGTCTACGATTCTCTTCACTCACCGTACAAAACACAACAGCTTTATGGTGCTATTTTACGCTGTTATTCTTTGAGAGCATGGTCCTTTCTCGGTCGAGCCGACCCATTCGTGCTACAACTATAATATAGCTGCAACATCTCTCTACCACGTACGAGCCGTCTTGTGAAGGGCTGTAATGATGATAATGATGATGATTTGATTATTAAAAGAAATACGCAACTAATCATTAATTTGATTATTGAAATTAGCGCTAGTAGCTTTCACAAGAGCACATTGCCAATATTAATAGGATAGTTGAGAAGTGTCCGCGTTTATTACTTGCTCACCTAGCAGATCGTAGGAAAACTCGACACTCCCACACACTTACTTTACTGTCGGAAAGTGGCGCCATGAATGATTATTTGTTGTTGTTCACTTGACCAACATCGAACGTAACGACAGAACGTAGCACTGATTTGTAAGGGATATTCTTTCAAAACTTTACTATTTGATAGGGCTTTCTTTTTCGCTTAGTAGTCCGAGTGGATAACCATCTTACATGGTTCAGTAATGCACCCACTACTGTTGCACGCTATGAAGAATATCATCTTAGTCCTCAGGGGTGAAAATGCATCAATGGCTTTTTGCAGCTCATGGACACCTTTTTGGATTTAAAATTTTTCTTCTTTGATACATAATACAAGTGTGATGAAGGATGAACGATGATGCCATAATACAAGTGTAATAACCAACTATAATTTTTATAAATTTTTTTTAAAACCGAATAGTGCCATAAAATATTATAAAATACTTTTAATCTATCGTTTTAACTTTGCTAGTGAAAACGCTAGCCGCCATGCTGTTCAACTCGTGACGTCACTGCCCTAGACTTTTGCCGATTTTGCAAAGGAATATGATACTTTTGGATGTTTAATTATGAGTTATCATTTGTATCATTGTTGTGTTATGCCTGAATGCAAAAATACGAGCATATGAACCCCGGAGAAGTTATGGATTCAAGTGCCAACTGATTTAATATGAGAAATACTTGGTTAAAACTGGCAAGAAAAGATCCGAAGGCATTGTCTACAATATCTAAACTATACTTCTGTGAGGATTACTTTGATGTAAGTATGACTTATATTTAACTATCGTTTATACAAAACAAAACATCATCACATGATAGGTGCATGACCTATTGCAAGTCACATTTTGTAATAGATTAGGTTAATCGCTCGTCTGTCCCGCCCTGTGTGGGCCATTTTGACAGCCCTTGCAAGTGCAGTGCAGTGTTTTACTTACTTAATTCGTTTTTTCTTCTATATTATGGGAATAATGACATGGTTTGTACAAAAAATATAACAAAAAGTTTTTCTCACCTAACCTTATATTATAATATCTATAACATTAGTGCTAAAAGCGAAGTAATAAACTCGCCTTGATTTCAAATTTCATAAAGATTATTCCATGTTTTAGCTGGAAAACGACATGGAAAATTACACACAATATAAGATTATGGGTTCATATAAACGAATTCGAATTAATAGAATAAATATTAGTACTTTTTGCTTTTACGAATCCGTCTTCCATGATGCCTTTTCAATAAAATTTGGAATAAAACTCAACAATCGTAATGATAACTTGAAAAATTTCGAAATAACACAGCACATTAGCTAGTTCTCTTAACCAGTGACGTCACGACGGTATCTAATATTATGGCGGACAAAATTTTACAGATTTGAAAAACAGATTAAAAAAATCTTAAAATTGAAATATAAAATGCATAACGCATTTTATAAATAGAAATCAATATTTTTCGTTTACTTTTTACAAAATCTATCATAAATATATATTTTTTGATTTCATTACATGGTGTAAAATTCCCTATTGTTTATGGCTTACATTTTTTTTAATAAAATAAGGGTAACAAACGGGCACACAGTCCACCTGATGGTAAGTGGTTGCTGTGGCCCATAGACATCTACATCTATCCTCAACTACGAATCAAAATGCAGATACGTTGTCACCCGTGAGGACTAACATGGAATGCCTTGTTTCCAATAAATAGGGTGTGTCTCTGATTCTCTACACACACCATACGAAACACAGCAACATTAAGATGCTATTTTACGCTGGTATTCCGTGAGAGCGTGGTCCTTCCCCGGTCGAGCCGACTCATTCGTGCTACAACCATACAATAATATGGCTGCAGCATGACTACCACGTATAAAACTACTGGTACTGGTAGAATTATGCCTATACAATGCCTGTGAGTTTGAATTTGCATGTGTTAATGTATTTCATATAACATCAAGTGGACTATTATAACTCTTTAAACACTTTAATCTATTATTTAAAAAAAAAACATAAAACTTTTAAGGTTCAGTATTGAAGTCTTTAACCATTATTATATTTTGTTCATCATTATGAGAGTAATAGTGTTATGTGACTGATACTAAACACAAAATAATATGAATAAGCAATCTGTCAACTTTATTATCCAATTTCAGAACGCACTCGCAGCCGCCAATGCGGCGCGCATTTGTCAAGATGTCAAGCAAGCGCCGCGATTCCCGCCATTGCAGCAATTGCTCTAAGCAGGATGCCGCCGATTTACCTACAACGCGTCTACAATGATTCACGCGTGCTCAAGTTTTTGGCACGAGAAAATTAGGGAAACAGTAATGACATCCTTCGATGCGACACAGACTTTTAATATCAAAGACGTCATCTTTATATTTTGATTATAACTTTATTTTTATTTTGAGACTTTCTTTTAGTTATCGTACTTCGCTACTAACAATTGTTTTTCATTTGTTTTGTATATTTTACAAAGAAAAGTATACTAGTAACTCTGTTAACATTAATAACAGTTTTAAACCACGTCTAGTAAGTAATTAATTAATCAATAAGTAGCTTTCAAATTATTAAATTGGTGTTTATCTGACCATAAACATGTGGAAATATGTATATATAAGCCAGAAATGCTGCAACGGGTCCTTTATACTGCCCTGGATTACAATGGGCTGATAAAAAACTGCACAGAAACCCAACATACATTATTAAGAACGGTGACTAGAACTATCTCTGAAACTACATAATCGAACAAATTGAACGAAATAAAATAACAAAAACTAAAATACTAAACATACCACAGGACTGGATTAATAAAAACCTAATCTAAGGGATAGATAAACGCAATATTTATTGGGATATCTAAAAAAAAATAAAAATGACGACATATTAAATAGATTAATTTAGAAAAAAAAAACTTGTGTACTTATTTACGCACCTAGGAAGTTATACTTCTGTAGTGTAACAAAACAAAAGTAACTAAAATTATTTAAGATCCTGGTGACTATTATTATATTAAGAACATCATTTTATTGTTATGAATGTAATACAAAATTTACGAACTATATATTTTGAAACACCCATTTTCAGCAGAGCAAGTTTCATTATTTAATTCAATTTCTTTCAGAGGGGAAAATCAGATGATTTGAATTATCATACTGTCTTAGATCGACCGCTCACAATGGTGTACCATCTAAACACCCTTTATTTTTATCTCACAAAATCAAATAATCTTATGAAATACCTTTTACTAAAATCTTTGTCATCCACCTCCAAATAATTGTTGCTCTTATATTATTTATAGTCTTACATTTTATTACACTTTTGACAAAAATAATTCGCATATCGAGATTCATCTTTAGTATGGTTCTTATATCCACAAACCAAGCAAGATATGTTTTTTTCTGTAGTTTGACGAACAGAATTTTCTTGGGCTTGTAAAGCGAAAATGGGTTACACTGCCGCTGATGATATGATCGAAGGCCTTCGCTATGTCCAAACTAACAGCCAACGACTCCCTTTTGAACTCCACTGCCTCTGAGTTAGGTAACCTAGAAGATCACCCAGCTGACCAACCAGCGACAGCGATCCCGACGGAAACCGTATTGGTGGTCACTAATCAGGTGGCGATCCTCAAGTAATACATGAGGTGGCAGTTAATAATCGTTTCCATTATTTTGGAGAACAAGGAGGTGATAGCGATAGGTGTGTAGATGGTCGGATCTGAGCGATCGCCTTTTTTAGGGATCGGGTTTACCAAAGCTGTCTTCCATGAGTTCGGAACTACGCCTAAGGAGTAGGAGTACCAGAAAAGATGCGTTAAAACCGATGCCAACTACGTAGCACACGTCTTCAGCATAATAGGTGGGACCACATCAGGCCCACTCGACTTGTTGACGTCCAGGGAGAGGAGTGCTATACACACCGAGCGCTGTGTAAACAGCAAATCCTGCGTGGAGCACTCACACCGCGGGTGGTCAACGGTGTGTTCCCCCCGTCATTGAGATTCGAGTTGGAAGCAAAGAGAGAGCCTAGCAGATCGGCTTTCTCCTTTGCAGCATGGGCTAGTAAGTCTACCCTGTGCAGAGGTGGAAGAGATGGCTGACAGAAGTTCCCTTGGACAGCCTTGGTGAGAGACCAGAATGCACGTGTTCCCGAAGGAAGATGAACTAGTTTCTCGCCAATTCTGCCGATGTGCTCTGACTTTGCCTTGGCAATGACACTTTTGAAGGACTTGGAGACAGAATTGTACTTCTTTTTAAGAGCGCTGGTGTTTGCATCCCGAGACGTTGATGCGTCAACCCAGGCCCTATTAGCGCTCCTACTTATAGCGTGATGCAATTTACAGGAGTGATCAAACCATAGTTAAGTTCTGTCTCCGATAGGCACCACAGATGATGGAATAAATAATTCCATTGCCTGAAGTACCACATTAGCGACAGAATCATCAACGTTGGGGTCATCCAGCGAGAAGCAAACCTGCCCTTAAGGGTAGGATGCAAAATATCGATGGAATAAGTCCAAATGCCCTTAAATGCATTAAAAATGTCATTGCCATTGACCTTACAAATTGCATCAATAAATGCCTATAAAATGATTCATTTCCTTACAGCCTACAAATTGGTAAAGTCAGCCCAATCCATAAAACTGGATCAAAAACTGATCCTAGTAATTACTCCGTACTCCCTGTAATTTGTAATGTTTGAAAAAATAATATATAAAAGACTTAACGAGTATTTAAACGTTAAAAACTTTTTCATTGAACAGCAATATGGTTTTAGATCTAAATCTATCACGATATCAGCAGCCATTAATTGCTGTTAAATTACAAAAATAAAGACAAACATTGATCGAAAACGTGTCTGTTTAGGAATATTCATAGACTATAAAAGGCTTTTCATACGGTAAGCCACCTATTAAATAAATATTATATTTATAACCAACTATTATAAACACTAAGTAATATAGGAATAACAGATGCAGCACTAAATATGTTGACCTCTTATCTCGTCAGCCGCCAGAGACAAATATCTAACTATAAAAGTGACCCTCAACAAATTACCTGTGGCATTCCACAAGGCTCAATATTAGGACCTTTGTTATTTCTTACATACATAAACAACATAGTAGGTAAATTTTAAGCTATCAGGTCATTTATTACTCTACGTAGATGACACTTGTCTTTTTTACTGTGCACATTCAATTCATGAAGATATATCACACAAGAACGAACGTCATTAATGTGACAACAATACTTACCTTATCTATAGAAAATAAATGAATTTAAATTTGAATTGAATTTGAATTCAAAAAAATATGAGCCGATAAAGAAGAAGAAAGACGCCAGTGAATGTACTGCTTAGCGGCAGAATTAGGTAGAAATTGGTACCTACTAGACGGACTCCTAGGAAGTAAAAAAAAAACTTTATATACCTAAAAAGAATTCCCACGAGCAGTAAAAGTATTTGATACAGTACATAGTGGTAATTTTTATTTGACACTAGCTTTCCGCCCCGCGGTTTCACCCGCGACATAAAGATTTGGATTTTCCCACTAGAATGAGTTATTTTACCGCGGTAAAAATTAGCCTATTTATGTTATTCCGGGTCATATTTTATCTTTAAATTTCCGCTCAGCAGTTTCAACTGAAGACGAAGTTTCCGTGTTTTCCCGTGAGAATAAATTATTTTACCGCTTTAAAAAGTATCCTATGTATTATTCCAGGTTATATTCTATCTGTGTACCAAATTTCATGCAAATCCGTCAAGCCGTTTGAGCGTGAAGAGGTAACATACATACATACACACACGCACACACGCACATACTCTCGGATTTATAATATTAGTATGGATACTAAAACACGTATTCATTATTTGCACTACGCCATTTGTTTCTACCGCCAAATTAGCAATGCTTGAACTGCTGTGCTGTCTGTAAGGTATAGCCCAGTATAATTACAGACTGTGAGGCATTCCATCTTTGTCCTCAGAAGTGACAACGCATCTGTAGCTTTCTTTGCTTGAAGTTGGCTACAAGAGTCCATGGAAAGCAGTAACCACTTACCACCAGGAAGACTGTAAATTAGCTTGTCACTACAGTTTTATAAAAAACTAGCTGTTCCCCGCGACTTCGCCCGCGTGTAATTTAGGGTTTTAATTATGTTGCGCGGAACCCTAATTCTTTTTCTAAAACTTAAGTGGCCCAAGTTACTCCTTATAACATTAGCTATCTGCCAGTGAGTTCAAACAGACAGACAGACAGACAGACAGATGGACAGACAGACCAAATTTTTAAAAATTGTGTTTTTGTTATAAGTACCGTATATACTTTCATATGCATTTAGTAAAAAGCTGGTATTTTGACATTACAAAGTTGTGAAAAGTACTAAAATATTCTGAATGTTTAGTCCCCAAGTTGAATAGAGTTTAGTGTTTCTATCATCATCGTTATTAGAATTTTTCACAAGTCCTGCTGAACATAGCCCTGAGCCATCAGCATAAGATGATTTTATAACCAAAGTAAATTCGTAAAAATATTTACGGTATCTACTTGCTTGTAGAACTATTCCTTCCACAATAGGTAGCCAGATGTAAAGCAGTGTATGAGTAACACTGCATATTCTAATTTGGAAAACAACAGGCCCGTAGATGCCACGGTGTATAGAAAAAACCCATACAGATAGATATTTAAACGGTAATTCTCACCACCATCCTTCACAATTAGCTAACGCTGGTAAATCTTTATCTCAGAGAGCACGAGGGATCTGTGACTGTAAACACCTGGCCGAAAAGTTCCAAAACGTCAAGCAAGTTTTGCACGCCAACAAGCTTCGGGTTCCTGCGCCTACGTCACAGTGAACGAGTGAAGCCGGCCACAGTCGAGCGAGCGCCTGCTGTACTGCCATATGTCAGAGGTGTCACTGACAAGGTTGGCTACATCTTGAAGCATGCTTCTATTAAAACATACTTCAAGCCGCCGAAGAAGATTAGTCAGTTTTTACCATCAGTCAAGTGTAATGTCCCTCTGCAAGATGCAGGAGTGTACAAGCTTGATTGTGAATGTGGAAGTCTGCAGTCTGTACACATGTCGCCCCCGTCACTACATTAGACCACAAATCCTCGGTAAGAACACCGACTCCTTCAAAGGATGATTCGAAAGAATATTGAAGTCAAAAAATATCCTAATTTCAATAGAGAAGGTGGTTGGGTCCTACCATCTGCTTGGGATCCTATAATTAATAAAA